CTATATAACACCACATCTCATTCACTCCGTCAAAACTTATAAATAACCGTGACAACTCACCTGGTACATGATGTGTACAGGTTGGGGATGTATGTGCCATTGTGGCGGAGGGTGTGGGGGCACCATTACCATTGGCTGTGAGGTGTTTGTTGACAGGTTCTGAGGTTCGTTCTGCAAAGGAGAACTCTGTAAAGCATAGTATCTTTCCTTCCTCATGGCCGGCCACTCAGGAGTAAGGATGTTTATCATATAAAAGAAGCAAAAAAGTGGAAAAAATAATAAGAAATTCAGAGAGAAGTTGGATTACAACAAGAACCGAAAGTAAAGAGATGCACAAACAGAGGGAAAAATGCAGAGTAATACATTTACGCCCAAGTGTCTGAATCAAACTGTTTGTCCAGAGTAAATACTGAAGAGCAGAAACCAGAATTCACAACTGTTGCAAGCATAGTTATGACTTCATAATTTCAATGTTAAGATTGCAATCAGAATTCACATATTGTGCAACCATGACTATAACCTCATAATTTGCAACTCATGTGAAGAATATAATAAAAAAAATTCTCAACCAAAGAAATCCCAGAACAGCATTACAACCGCATACAACAGCACTACGCTTATTCCGTGAGCAGGCCTTTTAATAAACCCTGATGTCACCATTACTGACTCCCAACTGAGCTGAGTAATGTCGTATTATACAAAGGGTTCAACACAAGTAAAAGTTTCTAGGCAAGTGCTTCCTCTAAATCCATACTAAACAAAATACCAAATATAAAGTGCAGAATCACAATTGCTCTCACATGCATTTGCTTGTTACACTACACAGGTGGTTTATGGCATCCTATTTTGTCTTTTTAAATACGAAGTGTTTGGGAAAATATGAGGAAAGGTAAAGAGATCCACAAAATAATGACTGACTGACCTGTGCAGATGCGGGTGCTCCTAGGATATTAAAAGATCGAAGCACTTCGCTTGCCTCTTTCTCTGCTTGGCCATGGCCATCCATATCTCACTGTGAATCAGGGACCAAAGCAACATTGACTTTCCTTTACAATTAAAAACCTCTGATGATGACATAGTCTGTTACCTAGCAACTACATCCTAACTGATTCTGACAGGAAAAGGCACAGCAAACTTCAGTTATAGGCCTGACATCAATTAAGTCACTCAAAAACACAATACTCTCTCACCGAGCATTTTAAACTCCCTCCCTCACCTTGACAACATTTGTGTCTATAAATAGGCATTCTGTATCCCAATTCAATGTCTGTTTATGTGGTTATGCTGGTATTTGCAGTCATATTTACATTCCTTCTCATTAATACATTACCAACCCTTTTTCCAAAATCAGTAGAAACTGTGCATGGATTGCAAGAAAGGATTCATATATTCACCATAATTATCTGACTTTACCTCCAGTTTACACTTTGTTTCTCTTAAACCAACTAAATCTATGTACATTATTTGTTATAAACTGGTATAAACTAATCCCATTCAACAAAAAAATGTGACTATAAGGATAGGTAAAACACACACACACACACACACACACACACACACACACACACACACACACACACACACACACACACACCACACACACACACACACACACACACCACCCCACTCCCAAACCCGCCTCATCACCAACAAGATTCCCAGCTGGCGAAATCCGAGGTAAAACGTCAAAGAGATAAGCGAATGAATATTTAAAAAAAAAGACAAAAAAGGAAAAAAAAAGAAGATGGCGTCACTCGCATATCTGTCCGGTCGCCATTAATTATCATCCGATCGAGTTTACTTTTCCTCGACCTCGTTAAAAGAACTAATTGGGGGAGCGAAGTGCATCTCGGACGCTCGGGTCTCGTCACGCACATGCAACACGCACACGCCTGTACACATGCAACTTTTTTTTTCTTTCACGCACACACGTCTTCATTGATACAAGTCCGCAGGCATTGGTAATTATGTATAAAAAATGTGTTATTGTATATACAGACAAACGTTTATGTAAGCATAAGTACGCGTACACGTAGTGTATACACACACGTAATATGCATGTATACATAAACACAGGTGACACGCACGCAGACGTAATATAAGTGTACACGTACACAGAGGTGGCATTCATACGTGAAAACACACACATACATACATACAAATACACACACACACCTGTAACTACACAAATACACACAGGTGTACATAGACAAATGCACACACAGGTATATGTTCACAAATACACGGGTGTACGTACAAAAATACACACAAACAGGTGTATGTACACAATTACACAGGTGTACGTACACAAACAGGTGTACCTACACAAATATTCACAGGTATACGTACACAAATATCCACAGATACACGAATACTCACAGGTATACGTACACAAACACACGCGAAAAGATGTACACACGCAGGTGTACGTACCCAGAGACACAAACAAACACTCACGCGCGTAGATCCGACACACGCCTCCCCGACACAGGGAATAATC